CCTCACTATAGGCCCAAAAATCGCATTCTGGGGCAGCACACGGGCAATGGTCTGACGATTCTTCTCTCCAAATGAGTGAGTAAAGGAGATAAAAAAGAGAGCGTCAGGCCTACGAGAAAGGGCATCTGCTACTCGATTGTAGCAACCCTTCTTGTGCTTCAGTTCGAAGTCAAACATGTCAATTAACTGAATGTAGGGAGCAAACTCTTTATGCAATTCTCCCTGGGACTTCATCCACTGGAGGGTGGAGTGATCTGAAAAGATCTTGAAGTGTCTGCCCAAGAGGAAGTGCTTCCAATGGTTGAGCGCTGACACAAGAGCATAAAACTCTTTCTCATAGGTAGAATCCGGCAGCTTCTTTGTCTTGATATTCTTGCTCATATATTCAACAAGCTGCAGACCATTCCCATCATCCTACTAAAGTACCACCCCTACACCATACTGACTAGCATCAGTAGTGAGCACAGAAGGCAAAGTAGGGTCGGGTAGCTTCAGAACAGGGGCACTTCTGCTCAATTATTCTCGCCACACACTCACCACCACCACCCTCACTGTCGCCAACCCTGAAGATGATAAATCGCCATGAAACTCAACTCCAGTGTCTCGCCAGATGATGGTGGTTGCTCCAACTCATTAATCGCTTCAATGTCTGGATCCAATCGCTCCGATACCAACTGTTATGATTCTGGTTGTCTGTTGTCTGAAGACCAACACTCACTCACATAGACTCCAAGGTATACCCATACATACACAAAAGGAAGGGGAGAGGATAGGAGTATCACACCGCACAGGGAGAGAGAAAGACAGCGGAAATTCACTCCACTCAATCCTCACAACCAGTCATAAAGGAAAGCCGAGTAGATCACATCCAAGAAGCAATGAAACGATGATAGTATGAACTCAACATCAACACTGTTTATTAAACTCAGAGTCTCGAATTGTCAGGATAACCTCAGAACTATGATGCGCTGCTCAGAGATGAGCAGCACTTCACTCCCCAACCTTGATGAACCTCTATTACTACCCCTGAGTCCCTGAAACATAAAGCGCCACCCAGATACAGCCTCCAAAGGGAAGCGCCACCCTGAAACAGGCCTCTGAGGCCAAGCGCCAATCACAGGATGAAGAAGAAGCCCAGCGCCACAGTATCTGATTATGACGAAGTGTCGAATGACTTCTCGGATGGAAGTCTGCGGCAGCGCCACCTCTCCTGACAAGATGATCTCTGAGGAAGAAGCTGCAGCTATGGCTGCAGCGCCACAACCCTGTAACCCTACTTCGGAGGAGGGTCTAGCAGGGCACCAACTTCTCTCGCCTCCAGCAGACTTTGAATAGCCCAGACCTCTGTACAGCCCTGCGTGCTGTCAGAGTACAGCGCAGGTCCCAGCTATGGCCGGCGCTCCGCAAGTCTGGCTATGTCCGTCTTCTTCAACGCAGAGCTGTCACCACTTCCAGTTCGTGCGTTGCACAGCAGCGATGTACACGGTACCAACCGCCAAAAGCCCTGAACCGATGTGGCCATCCTATCTATAACCTACACTAGCCTAGACACGATCTAGACCGGACTGACTGGACCGACCGGTACCGTATCAGTTTCGTCCTCTCGGCCTCTACCTAGCCGGCTATAGGCTATAGGACCGTCTATCAGTTTAGGCCCATAGGGCCTGTCTGTCCTAGGGGTAGCCCGGGCCTGCTATTCACAGTTAGGGTAGCTGTAGGAAATTCTAGTTAGTACGGGCCTCTAGTTTCCCGAATTTGCAGATATGTCCCTCTCGAACTTTCCTTACAGGCCGGTTTCTCGGTTAGCCCTCAGCCAAACAAATTTACGAATCTGTCCTACTTATGGTACAGGCTCGACGAGAGAGGCTACAGGCCACTGGAACCAGCAAGTCATTGCACCTGACTGGAGATGATCTCTCTCTGGAATGGATGCTAGAGTCAATGGAGTTAATACAGCCAGATGAACCTGACAGAAATTGTGATGGCCAGATTGAAGTTCATTGAACCTTTCCCCTACTGTGTGATCTGAAGAATTGAATGAACCTCCCCCTGCCGCGCAATTTACAGAATCAAATGATCTGATAGTGCTGCAGTGAGCCCACTGTCCGCACAGTGCAATTAATGTATGAAGAAGAGCACCATGCAGTCTGCCTAGAGGACAACAGTACTAAGCCTGGTGTGAACACGGAAGTCCTGTCTATGACATTTATGGGAAGAAAACTGCAACTGCAGCCCACTCCACAGATTTACACGCAAGACATGGACCTGAATATTCGTCCATACTTTCTGCATTGCCCACGTCATTTATTCCTTTGCGCCGTTTGCGGATAATTCATGGACCATAGGAGGACAATGGCAGTACGGTGCACACGGTGGGAAATATCAACTCTTTCTATCACAGAGTGGCAGGATCCCACTCCGTCTTGCTGGTCAATCAGGAACAATATGTGGATGTGCACTCGCAAGCTCTACAGCCTCCGGAGAACAATCCGGCTGAACGTCCCCCCTCACCTGTACATGGCCAGGCAGTGTCCCTTCCCTGTCTAGACCGGAGAGATTCTACCACGGATAGTGAAAAACCGCTCCAGAGGATGGTGGTTGTGCCATGCCATTGTGTCTCCATGCAGCTACAGTTTGGTCAACGTGCGCAAGGCATAATCTCTGGTCCAAACACTATGAAGGGATAGTCACTGCCAGCCTCTGCCGCAAAAAACTGCAGCCCATCGTCTTGCAGTTATCCCCCCCACCCCCTCATTACCTGCCCGATATGCCGTTTTGAACTTGACATGCGACACTTAAATAGCTGCGAACGTCAGCCTACTTTCCTGCTTGCATGTCAGCAACATGCGATGTGTCATCAATGTTGTCAGTAAGCTGTCATTGAAAGTATGTGTCTCTTTTGCGTGGACTATCCCCAGTGTCATAACCCGCCACATCGTCTCCTAGCATGTCCCAAACACAGCATTGGGCATACACCTGCTGCAACCGCGGCTGGGTCTCCGTCATCCTTGCCAGACGAACAACAGACAGCAGCCTGAAGAGGAAAATCCCCAGTGTCATAACCCGCCACATCGTCTCCTAGCATGTCCCACACACAGCATTGGGCATACACCTGCTGCAACCGCGGCTGGGTCTCCGTCATCCTTGCCAGACGAACAACAGACAGCAGCCTGAAGAGGAAAATGGACTATCTCATGAACCACCTACAGTGCACTGTACTGAAAGGTTATCACCACCAGGGCGAGCTGTTGCAGACCAAATCTTGCAACAGTTAAACACCCTTACCTTGGATCCGCCCTCGTCGTCCGCAGCCCATACAGAGGGAGTAATGACTGTGGAAACCCAAGAAACATGCTCAATGCCGCACTGTGATGCACATGCTTCGTGTCGTGAGGATTATGAATGCATAGCCCATACAAGTTTGTGTTTTCATACGTTTGATGACAGGCAGGCTGAGTCAACATTGCACTCATGTACGGTACCCTGACATGTCATGCCCAATTTGTAAACAGTGGCTGGAACGGCAATGCCTATAGGATTGCGATCGGCGTGCGCCTGTGTTCCTAGCATGTAGGAGCCACGTAGCCTGTAGCATCTGTCTACGCCGTGCCATTCGATGCAGCAAATGCGACTGTGGGAATTAGATTTGATGCTTCCACATCCCACACCCAAACCAGTCCTGTCCGTACCATAGGCCATGGATGCTCCTCAACTCAAAATCTCCTATGCCTCTGGTGCCATCCTAGAGTAGTCTGCTCCAGCAGTGAGTATTGAGAACCTATGAAACTTGTCATTCCTCTATTCTGTTCTTTGCCCCTCCATTTCCCTTCTGTACTCCCTCCCCCGCCTCTCGCATCCTATAGAGCTCTATTTCTACCCTTTCCCTTCTCCCTCCCCCGCCCCTTGCGTCCTATAGAGCTCTATTTCTACCCTTTCATTCCTCCCTCCCCTTGTGTACTGGTAAATGCATACGAATGAGCATCATTAAGAGAAAAAACGAAATATAAGCTGAACATTTGAAGAAAAATGAACAGGAGTATACCTCATCCTTTACTCTGCCTCCTTTCATAACACGCAAGTGTGCCATTAAGGCACACGGGGATGTGGGCAGCTGGCGCTAAACCACAATAAATGTGGCCAGCCTTGAACCAAGTTGAAGGTGGGCGGCACAGTAGAAGAGGAGCTGCGAGAACAACTAAAAGGGGTACCCCAAAGAAAGCCAAAGTAATGATCGTTAAGAAAGGGAAATAACGGCTCTACTGTGCCCCATTTTGCTTGCTATAGAGGTAAAGCTGTTTCATTGTTGGATTGGCTCATCTCCAGTGTGCTTCAGTGTCTGCACACACACACACACACACACACACCAGGGGATGTTGTGGTGCAAATCTCAAACACACACATGCACACATGCACACATGCACACACAAACATATTACTCATACAAACTGACTGTCTGGTCCATTATTTAAAGCATCTGCAACTGTAATGGGCGAACTTGTAAGTTATGTGTCGTTTGTTTGAAATGTGCACATGATTGTCATGTCCATGTTTTGACGTGTTCTTGTAACTGAGTGTGGCCTAAGGAGTTCTCATCAGAATTCCAGGAAGGAGTTCCTCCTTGCTTAAGCCACCAGTACTGGAGCAAGGTGTGCCCGTTAATGTGCCGACCTTCCAGGGATGTAAGGGCCTGCCCTGCATGCGCTTAACTTGAAAGGCGTTTAGAGACCCACAGAGGAGGTGGTTACAAAAAGAAAAAAAAGAGGAAAAAGAGGTACTGGTTTTGAAGTGTGAACCTTTAGAGTCTTGTTCCCTTGCGGAAAAGAAAACAAGAACGAACAAATAGAAGATGGAGGCAGGAGTATCTGTCACCCAGTGTTTAAGGGACACCACATGTAACCACTTGGCTTGTCGCACATGTTTTTCCTTCTTTCTCTTGGTCACTTGCCCCGACTCTATGTTTCTTTCATTTGTTTGTGTGGTTGTGTTGTCGTTGAATGCAGAGCCAAGGAAGAAGCCGGAGCCTCCACCTGCCATTCCTCCGCCTGGTCCTTCTAGTCCCTCTGGTTCCTCTCCTCGTACTTCTCGTCAATCGTCTACAACCCCTCGTTCATCCGTGGCTACTCGTGCGCCTTCGAAGACTCCCCGTTCTCCCCGTTCTCCCTGTTCTCCCAGTTCTCGTGCTTCTGCTGCTGCTGATGATGCTCCTACTGCTCCGCCTGCCGAGCCTCCTGCTGAGCCCCCTCCTCCTCCCCCTCCCCCTCCCCCTCCCCCTCTCCCTGAGCCGCTGAAGCTTGAGGATGACGATGACACGACATGGATGGATGAGCTTGTTGACATGGGGAAGTTGATGGGTGTAAGATCCTTCAAGCACACCTTTTTTTTTGGACCATTTCTCAATTTATGTGTGTCAACCTTGAGCCAGGGCCATGCTAATCTTCTCTGTATCGTTCCAATTTTAACTGATGTCCTGATGGACACAAGCACACTTTTCTGTCTGTTTCAAAAGCTCGTTTTTTTGGAAGGAAACAAAAAAAAAAAATGTATTATTTATCTGTAAAAATCAGAGATACTATGAGCAGTGTTTGTTGAGCCGAGTTAGCATCTTTTTTTTCTTTTTTCTTTTTTCTTTTTTCTTTTTTGACAAAAAAAACACAAAAACACAGCTAGGGGTAATGATAAAAGCATATACCCCTAGCTATATTCGCGGGTTGCTCCGGTCTATTGGTGGGGAGCATCACGTGCTGGAAACCGGGTCCAGCGTCCCATGATAATATTCAAGGATGAGCACAGATAACCGAGAAGCCACAGTTGCCTCTTCAGTCCGCCAGGTATAACATTCTTCACTAGCTACCATTGCCTCTCATAAGATTGTCCTGACATTGTCAATTCCCTTCGAAGGCAAAACATTACATCTCCACAAGGGCAAGCTCAGAAGGGGGAAAAGGATCTTCAAAAAAGATTGGAGCTCTAAGAGTAGCTCCTGAGCGAGGTGTAAAGGGGTCCTTGAAGATGAGTTGGAAGTCCCTTTTGAAGGATTCCTCCCTCCCCCTTTCCCCTGGCCATACCTCCCTCAGGCTCTTTCCCCCAGTACCCCCCAGCCAGTCCACAGTAAAGTTATGAATTGCCTTTTGGATGTCTTTCTTTTGTTGACAATTACGTAATTTGGATGTGACGGCTGCCCATTGGGCTTTGATCTCTATTTGTACAAATTGGACAATTTGTTCAACCATCTCTGACCCCTCCAAATTTACCTCTTCTCGTACTAAAGCACACCTTTTATGTCGTAGTGCCCATAACACCGCTTTTCTACCTATTTCAAAAAAAATGAGTTGGAAATTGGAAAGCCCTAGGTTTTGTGGGGTCCAGTGCCCTAAGAGGATTGCCTTCCAGTCCCACGCTCAGTCCATATCCGTTGGTTCCCGCCATATGCAATCCCACCTGCTCTATTTTAATATTGAACTGGGGCATTACATAAAAATGTGTTCAATGGTTTCTCTACATTTTCTCCCTAGGAAGGTGGACAATCAAGAGGTGCACCATGGAGTGGCTAACCCTTTCTGTTTCAAAGAAGAGTGATCACTAATCCAATCATTTGTGGGGAGACAACGATGTGCAATTTACCACTGCAACGAAGAAAATTTAGCTGGTCTTTATCCTGTATTTTAATTTTTTTTTATGTCCTTGAGTAAATTTATGTCTAAATTCAGGTGCCTAGACCATCTTTCTTGCAGGATCGCTGCAACGTCCACCTTTGGTCGTAGCTGTTTGTATGCCGCTTTCACAGTGAGTGATTGTAGGGTCCTTGGTTTGCCCCACTTGCTAGTTTGCCAGACCCATTCTGTCGGGTTGGAAGTTCTGGGATAGGAAGCCTTGGATGAAAGACTCTCCATCCCTTTGTAGCGGAGATGAAAATGACTCTAACCCGATAGAGGTATGAAAAAGGAAAAAAACAAACTGGATCCGAAGGAAACTGGATCAGAAAACGTTCTTTCTCCATTTTGAAAATATTTATTAGAGAGTCATATGGGAGATTGTGCACCACTTGACCTACCACCTCTTGACCTACCACCCCTTCACCATATGGCCGAAACCCAACCAGGCTATGACTTGTCGTTGAAGGACTTTTATCCGTGCCTGACTCATAGACCAAAGGGCTGATTTATACCAGATGGAAGCTAGAATCACATTGTTAAGAATGCGTGCGCTTCCAAAGATGGAAGTTTGTTGATTCTTCCATTGATTCATTTTTTCTAGTGCTGGTTTGCAAATCCATTCCTCATGGTTAGAAGGTTTACCTAATGCTGTAAGTGATACTCCTAGAATGAGTATCGGGGCTTCTAAAGGTAACCACTTAATTATCGGAAGCTCCGCAGGACGGTTACCATTTGAATGAATCCACCACCCTTGAGTCTTATTGCCCCAGTTAATCACCATGTCAGAGACTTGTGTAAATTTGCTCATTAGGGCTTGAATCTCCTCCATGTTTGTCAAGGATACTTCTAACATTATTGTGAGATCAGCAACAAACATTGAGCTAATGGGGATGGCATCTTCTGGAATACCTGAAATCTGCAAACGTTTTAAGTTACAATTGGTTCTGAGATTGACCCTTAGAGCTTCCATTAAGATTAGAAACAAAAAAGGGGTGAAAGGATCTCCTTGTCTCACCGATCTTTGTAAACTAATTTATGGAGAAAGAAGCCCATTCACCTGACCTCTCGTTGTAGCATTCGTATGGAGAATCCGAACCCACTTCCTTAAGTTCGGACCAAAATTCATTTTATTCAGAGAGGCATCCAAAAAACGCCAGTCTACATTATCGTAGGCTTTTTCAAAGTCTATGAAAATGAAGGCAGCATTCTGTTTCGATTGTCGAAAGAGTTTAATCATCCCATTAATTAGAAGTATATTATCTTGAATGTGTCTGCCACTAATAAATCCGATCTGTGAGGGATGAATGATATCTGCCATCACCGGAATCATACGATTAGCCACGGATTTAGCCAATATTTTATAAACCATAGTAAGTAAAGTTATGAGTCTATAATTTCTTATATTTGTATTATCCCCCTTCTTGTGTAAAAGAGTGAGAATTCCTTGGCTTGCTAGTTCCCCCATCTGTCCTGTCTCATAAACAACTTCGAAAAATTCCAACAAGTCTGATGAGAAAGTCGACCACATGGTTTCCCAAAATTCTTTGGGAAACCCATCGATGCCAGGGGTTTTATCCACATCCATTTGTAATAATGCTGTCCATAATTCCTCCAAGGTCAAGGGTCTCTCTAAATGCTCCCTTTGCTCTTGAGTAAGTGCCTGGGTTAAGGGTGTGAGGAAAGTTTCTATGGCTGCGTCATCTTCTTGCATATCATCCATCTTTTTAGATGGAGTGAATTTAAAAAAAAAAAAAATCATATGCAATCTTTAGATTTCCTGCTGAGGATAATGTAATAGATGGTTCTAAGGCTCCAGTAGAAGGTTAGCATCTCCCTCGATAAGGACATGAATATTCTACGGACTATATGAACACTTACAGTTTAAGCTACCCACCCTTTGGTGGATCCAACCCTTCTTTTACTTTTTTTAAGAGAACAAGTGGACCCGCCGCAGCGACGCTGCAGCGATGGGGAAAAGGTGGGGGGGGGGCAAAAAGGGCAAGGAAACCACGGTAAGGAGATATGCAGAACAACTGGCATTTCAGGCGATGGAGGAACGCAGGGTTTCTTTGTGTCTATCTACGGTTTGCGCGTCTGTGTGTGTGTGTGTGTGTGTGTGTGTGTGTGTGTGTGTGTGTGTGTGTGTGTGTGTGTGTGTGTGTGTGTGNGAGAGAGAGAGAGAGAGAGAGAGAGAGAGAGAGAGAGCATCCACATCCACTCCTCCCCCGCCCCACCCCTCTCCTCCGTTCCCTCCTTCCGCTTTTCGTACCCACCTCCCGCTCGTTCGTTAACTCCCCCTCTCTGTTTCCCACCGTTCCTTCTCCTGCTTCTCCTCCCGCGTTCGTTAACTCCGCCTCCCCGTTTCCCGCTGTTCCTTCTATTGCTTCTTCTCCTAAGTTCGTTACCTCCCCCTCCCCGTTTCCCGCTGTTCCTTCTCCTGCTTCTCCTCCTGCTTTTCCTCCTGCTTCTCCTCCCGCTTCTCCTCCTCTTCCTCCTCCTCCTCCCGCTCCTCCTCCCGCTCCTCCTCCCGCTCCTCCCGCTCCTCATCTTCCTCCTCCTTCCCCTCCTCCCCCTCCTCCTCCCACTCCTTCTCCCGCACCTCCTCTTGCTCCTTGTCCGCTCTTCCTCCTCCTGCTCCTCCTCCTGGTCCTCCTCTTGCTCCTCCCGCTCCTCCTCCCGCTCCTCCCGCCGCCTTTTCCTTTTTCCTCCCCCACTCAATCAATCAATCTATCGATTGATTGATTGATTGATTGATTGATTGATTGATTGATTGAAAAACAAAAACAAAAAAGGAGAACGGGGTGACTTTTTGTTTTTCTTTTTCCAATCGATCAATCAATCAATCAATCAATCAACCCACTACCGTGCCTCCCATAAACCCTCCACCCGCCTGATTTTTCCAAACAGAAAACGAAAAATCAGTCAATCAATCAATGAATTTATCAATCGAATTTATTGATTGATTGATTGATCGATCGACTGGGTGTGTGTGTGTGTGTGTGTGAGAGAGAGAGAGAGAGACAGAGAGTGGGTCCCCGTCCACCCCTCCCCCCGCCCACCCCTTTCAACCCTTCCCTCCTTCCGCTTTCCCTACCCGCTTCTCGTGCGTTCGTTAACCCCCTCCCCGTCTCCCCTCCCGCTCTTCCTCCCGCTCCTCCTCCCGCTCTTCCGGAGCCCCCGCTTCTTCCCGTTCCCCTCGCACTCCTCCCGCACCTAACCCCCTCCCCATTCGCCCTACTGCTCCTCCTCCTGCTCCTCCTCCCGCTCTTTCTCCTGCTCCTCCTCTCACGCCTCCTCCGCCCCTTCCCATTTCCCGTCCCGCTCCTTCTCCCGCTCCTTCT